CAGTAAGTTTCAACATTTGGAAAACCTCAGCTAAAAACAAACTTAGACATGTAAAATCTTTACCACATTTCAAGATGTGACTTAATAAAATGATAGATCACCAGAATGATATGCGGTAAATTGGAATAGATTTTCAAAATTAATTTTAACGTAAGTATAGCAAAACACATTAACAAGCTAAAAAGAGATGGTCTCAAGAACAGAACCGTCAATAAAGTCTTCTCACCTGCTCTTTTCCATAGAAGAAGGCTGAGTCAATGCTATCTCCATTATGTTTTCCAGTTATCAAAAGAACACCAACAAGAAGAGCAGGAATTCTGTAATAGCAAGGGTTTAGAGAGAAAGAGGATGAATAGTAACTGCTGACAAGGAGAAAATTCTGAGATATTTTAAATTAAGTTACAGCCCCCAGAGAGTAGGAGGAGACAGAACTACTAGTCTATTATTAATGGCTGAGAACTATTAGTCTATTATTAATTAATGGCTGTGGGACAACGAGACTGCTCACATTCCTGTTAATCTGCTGGAATTTCAGATTGATTTCCAGGTGGCTATTTCCACACGTTATTTTTGAGCCGGGCACCATCGAACTCCAGGAGCCTTCACTTCTTCTTTACATGTGGGCTTTCCGGACTGCTGCTTGCAGTCAGTCCACAGGAGCCGACATTTCTTTTTGCGGACTCTATGCCTATCCCAGACAAGATCCTTTGTCTTGTCTGTTTCACTTTCTCCCATCTCTTTGCCCATGATCAATGTAAATTCTTTCAGACTGCTTACATCTTTCTTCCTCCTACCCACTAGTTGATGTATAAAAACATCGGCAAACTCCAAGATGATGAACATGTCATCTTTCCGACCTAGCCATGCTGCTGGTGGTTTAGACTCCATGCCCCAAGACTGGACTTCTTTTTTGCTGCATTGGCTTAATAAACTTAATAAACTCTTTCTTTTAGAAAGACTTCCAGCCGTGGAAGTTAAATTTTTTTGTGTTTGTTTAACACTGTATATGTGGGAGCATGTAAGCAAACAGAAAACTACCAACTTACCCCCAGCCACATATGATGATGATTCCAACAGGAATTTGTACCCTCTCTCGCTTTTTCAAAAGAAACAAAGAAATTGCTAAAAGGCCTAAGAACAATAAACAGAGATTGAAAAATACATAATTATTCTTGATGTTGATCAGACTTCATGGAAGTTTATTTAACGAAGCTTATTTCAGTAGCTATCTGTAGCTTTGTCCTAGAATTTACTCCTTCTAAGGAAATGCTGTCCCCAATATTTTGAAGCAAGTTTTATTAATTCAAAATAATTTGTATTTCCCCAACCCCACACTGTCTCTTTACTCAAATCTTCTTGTTTTACACATGAAGATTTTTTTCAAAAGCTCCAAATCATCTTATATTTTTTGACTGATGTGTTTGGAATCTAAGTACATTTGGAAAAAGAAATGTTTTTAAGTGGCTACAAAACAATTCTAAAATGAAAAACACCACCACTCTGAAGAAAATACAGGCAATTCTTACACAGGTTTTGTTTTTGGAAAATGCCCCAAGTCTAAATTATGGACTTTAATAAAAATATATGTTTTATTTTATACAAAATAAAACAAAATAATACAAAAACAAAAACTTAATACAAAAGCAAATGTTTTAAGGTTCTTGAGCTCTCTTTATATCTTATGCCCAATTATTCATACAAATAACATATTACTTAATAAATTCTACATAGCAATAGAATCTTAGAACTTTAAGGTTTGGAAAAGACCATTGTTTTAAATTAACACCTTCATTTTACTGATAATGGAAACAAGGATTTGCCCAAGCCACATAGCCAGCAGAGGGCAGAGCAGGCCTAGGAACCCAGACATCTGATGTGAGATAGGTCCAATTCTATTAGCATTTCTAAAACTCGGATTTGTAAACCCCAAGGGTTCCCAAGATATATTCTTTAGGATCTGAAAATTTCCATGAGAAAAACGTTTTTTTGGTGTATTCTCAATGATAATCACCTAGATGTCCATCTTATAACTAAAGTACAGTCTCATGATTCCAGGGCTTACATCTGCTTTTAAATTGTTTAAGCAAAGTAAAAGTCAAATGACATCACAATACACAGTCCAAATGAATGTTCTGTAATAGTTTAAAGAGAGAAAAGCAGTGAGAAAACCAGGTCAGAAACCCACACATGGAAATAAAGGCAGGCTAAACTAAAAAAAAACCCTAACTGGAGAAGTGAGTTCCATTTTACATTTCAAGCTGTCCTTCAGATTAGCAAAACAAGATCCTTTGTCTTGTCAATTAATGTTGCTAATTAGAATTATTGAGTTTATAGTTGTTTTTGAATCTCATCTGTGAATTTGCTTTGGTTTTAAAGTTGTATATAGCTGTATATAAGGCATGCATACCTAGATTTAAGATTATACAGATTAAGTAACACCGTGCTAGAAATAATATAACTCAACACCAAGGTCCTTGTGAGTTGTTTATTTTTACAGGGGACCCACACATTACTCAAGTTCAAGAGATATTATAATACCACTTCTCTTATCTAAATACATTTGTACACTCTATATTCCAGGTTTTCAAAGTACCAAGGAAACAAGTAACCAATCACAAAAGTGTGCCAACTGTGTTTCAGTAGCGAGGACACTCTTTAATTTCTAATGTTCATTATTTCTTCCTTGTGAAAAGACTGATATAGGAATAGGTCCAGTCTAGCCTTGGACCTCTCAATGATGAAGCTGCGAGAGTTCCTGCCTGAATCAGCTAAACTCTTTGGGCCTTATTTTCCTCATTTGCAAAGTGAAGGATTTAAACCAGACCACTGTTTCCAAGAGTATAGAGACAACAGGTGACACAAGGGTGAAAAAATTTTGACTAGTTATATGTTTTTAATATGTGCTTGAAAAAATTTTAGCTAGCACAGGAAACTGGGGATTTTCCTGATCTAAGGCTCAATTTATTAAAGTTAAAAAAGCAAGTCAACTTTAAAGGGAAAAAGGGAACAAGTGATATGCAGATAAGACAAAAATCATGAGGATGGTATGCAAATCAGTGAAATCGAAAATGGCAGAATAGGATGATTTAAAATGTTACTTTAGTTCTAAAGTTCTGTTATAATAATCTCAAGGTTAAAGGGTACCTTCATTGGGGTCAGGAGATTCAGAACAATGTTTTTGGATAGATTTAGGCATGCCTGCTTTAACAGGATTTCAGAGAGACTTGGGGCTTTTTTTTGATACATTGACCTATTTGCTTCTCTCTTATTCTCATTAAAAATTTAGCCTTAATAAACCCAAGTATTAGAGATTAAGTTGGTTCAGCTGTATTTGGAAATAGAAGTCTTTAGGCTGTTTTAACTTGACATGTCATAAAAACTCATGCTATGTAAAGTGTACTTGTCTTTAAAAAGCACAAACCTTCTCCTCTTTGCACTTAAGTTTCCATTCTGTAATTCTTCACCACACTGTTGCTTCACTTCAAAGGCTGTTGACTTAGCTGGGCCCTGCTTTTGATCCTGAAGGCATGAAATCAAAGGCCTATTCCCAGCCACTTCCTGACACCTGCCTCCTAACAGTGGCTGTCACTACCAGCCCTACCATTCTACAATTTCCTTTTGTGTGTCATTTTCCCGGTTCACATTTGCATGAATACAATACAGCCAGATAGAATGTTTCACAGACATACCAGAATGTATACATTCAAATAAATATTATACTTCGAAATAGCAATGTGCTAAGCCATTTTCATTATCCTTTTTGGAGCCAGTCGAAATGAGAAATAGTCTTCCTTAATTGGGTACTCTTCTATTTCCATATCCTTCATTCCTTACTTTCCTTGTTCTATTTAATAATAGAATTTTATTTGTTGAATGCCTACCATGTACCAGGCATAAATAATCACATTTCATTTAATTCTCAAAATAACTCTGTACGGTATGATAACCAGTCCCCAGTGCTACAGAAGAGGAAATGGAGACAGTAAAAGTTAAGTTATCTGCTTAAGGCAGAGCCAGAATTTTTCATAGATCAACAGAACAAAATAGATAGACTAGAAATAAACCCATGCCTATAGAATCAATTAATCTAAGACACAGGAGGCAAGAATACACATGGAGTAAAGACAGTCTCTTCAATAAATGGTGTTGGAAAAACTGGACACACACACAAAATGATATTAGATCGATTCGTTACACCATATACAAAACTAAACTCAGAATGGATTAGTGACTTAAATGTTAAGACCTGAAACCATAGAACACCTAGAAGAAAACATAAGCAATAAATTCTTTGATACTGGTGTTAGCAATATTTTTTAGATATGTATCCCAGGGCAAAGGATTTGAGAATCATTTTAATTCTTAAAATAACTCCATAAGATAGGATAATCAGTCCCCAGTGTTACAGATGAGGAAACAGCGACAGTAAAAGTTAAGTCATTTGCTTAAGGCAGAGCCAGAATTTTTCATTCAGTTCAGTTGGACGCTAATAGTGAGCTCTGGAACACACCTTATACATCTCATACATACATTCCCTACTTTCTCCACCTGCCTCTAGTGCCTGCTCTGTTGGTGTCTCCAAAGGAGAGCTATGCTGACGGTGGCCTAGAGCCAAAGATGCTGAGGAAAAGGACCACATGACTGGAAAATGCCCGAATCCAGATAGAAAATAAGTATATCAGGAAACAGAACTTGGTTTTGCAGACTATGTTAGTGGGTGTAACTACCTGAAAGAATGCCTTAATCCTGTACTAGGAGACTTCAAATAGATCACTAGAAGCTCTTGGAAGAGAAGGGGACAGACCTAACTTTCCATACATGATTCAACTTACCTGTCCATAGGTAGGTACTATAGAGGGAGCTGTACAATAGAACAAACACCAGAATTTGTCCAACAAAGTTTTTTTCTTTAACAAAATACCATATCATCATTCCAGCACATACAATAGCCTGAAGAAAAAGTTATGAAAAAAAGTCATATTCATATGAGTCATATTAATGTTTTATTCACAGCAACTATATTATTGTTTTAAATTATTGCTGAATAATCATCAACTATTGCATACTAGTTATACTAAAATTACAAGTTTTATGGTAAAAAGAAAGCCTTCTTATACAGTTTTTAACAATGGACATATTCAAGTGAAACAGATGACAATATTCTAAATACTAACCTTATATTCAGTAATGGTTTACACAGAAAATGCTAACCTTTCCATTAGAATTTGAGAAATGCAAAGATTTACCTAGAAAATCAGGTTATGATCGTTTAATTTTTAAGGATTCAATTATTTCCATTAAAAATGCAAAATTATCATCAAATGCTATTATTAACCTTAACTTTACATAGTTCAAGACGTATTTCAATATTTAATAAATTAGGCATAAATTAATAGTGATCAAATTGTAATTGATTTCATTTGGTCAAAAATACTTCTGATTTTTATAACTGGAAAAAACACAAAGAGGTAATTTTTTCCTTTATAGTAGTATAATCAACGAGAAAAGCACAGTTCTATATATCTATTGGTTTACTAACCTGGGCGATCAGTAAATTAGTTGTAAGCATATGAGGAAGTTGTTTATATTTCTTACTCAAAAGAAGAATAGCCAGAGACCAGATCTTAAAGACAAAGGGTTCAAAAGTTATTCAGTTTTTTTAGTCTTTATAATTACTTATTAAATAAGTCGTTGATTAGCCTCTTTAAAGAATCCTCTTTATCTTGATTCAGAAAGAAATTCCAACATTTACTTTAACATGTCAGTTCCCAAAAAGATATTAAGGTAAATTACTATATCCAAAGTAAAATAAAAAGCATGGAGAGATCCTATTGTAAATTAACTGTCCAAAAGTGACAGGGTCTTTAAGAACTATTGCCTTGACTTGGGCCATGTTCTAATTTTCCCTACCTTTGGTGGCTGGTGTGGGACACAAGTTCATAGCCAATATTTAAGAAAAGAGCTTGAGTAGGAGATGCAGTTACAATGCACTAAGTTCTCCCTTTTTGATTCCACCATATTGGCTCATGAGGTATCTAAATTCCAGGCTATCTTACTTCAAACAATATACATTGCCTACCTTAAGACTGTCTTGGATTCCTTATATTTAAAAGGATTGGGTTTTTAGTCTACCTACACAGTGGCCAGCTAAGTTTGCTGGTTGACTTCCTTCTTTCTTCTCCCCTCAATGTCATTCAAAGCTTACACAGTGTCTCTCCCCAAACTGCCCTCTTATCAATGGGTACTGATTTTTAAGAATATGTAACAAATGTAAAAAATCTTAAAAATTACATTAATCATGCCATTTATTTGTTGACAATATACATATTCATCTCCACCTTTTTTCCTTTAATAGTAAAAGTTGTCTTTTTTTTCCAGCCAGAATACTGCTTGAATTTAATAGGCAACATAATCTATAAGATAATCTAGTTGCCGAGTGTTTAAGTATTTAACTTGAACTAGATAGATCCAGAAAGTTTCATTAACATGAAATGAGGGGGTTAGACATGATTCCAAGGATCCCTCAACCACATGATTCTACAACAGCTAGTATTTGTATGATGATTCACCATGTGCACAATGCTTTTTACATATTTTATTTCATGTAATCCTTAAACCCACAGAAACAGGTAAAATTATGATCTCTATTTCATAGCTGAGAAAACAGAAACTTAGAGAAGTTAAGGTAACTTCACAGAGACAGACAGCTGATAGGGCCAGGAGTTAAATCCAGGTCTGACTAAATCTCATGCCTTGTCTGCTGTCTAACTCTAAATCCCAGATGGAAAGACAAAACTCAGAAGGCTGATATTATATTTTATGGGCAGGCTTTAGCATTCTCTATTGCCTAAGATATTAGACTTTTAAATCTCTAACTTTCTGTTACCAAGCTATTCTCAAACTCATTCTGTGGTTTTCACTCATTTTTACACTGAAACATGCTTACCAAGGCAACCAGGCTGATAATACTTATATCAAAACTAACAGTCTGGATGGCATCTGCCAATGGCTTAGGATCCATTGAGGGAAAGGTCAGTAACCAGGCAGAAACATACATGATGGGTGCAGACACAAACGTGCTTATTACCATCCCTGAGGTTATCTGCAAAAGTGAAATCAAATTGTAGAAAAGGTCACAGTCGCAATTAAACAATTACCTTAGACTTTAAATAACCACAGAACACTAAGGTATTCTAAAATAAGCAAGACTCAGTAAAAAGACATCCAGCATGTTATCCACTACCATATAACCCCTTTCCGAGAGTTCTTAAAAGAAAACACAGTTAAGTTCTCTTGGCTCCTTTTCCAAGCTATACTCAATTTTTATTTGCACATGACAAATAGCAGACATCCCACTGCTAATGGTTATCTTCTAGGTTCTAAGAAGTAAACCATAATAATAATCTAATTAAATTGATGACCAATTTCCTTTCATACTATTTTACAAAATATAGGGCAATAAGAGCAATTCAAAAGGAAAAATTACTATGCAAACATTTTACAGATAAAAATATGGAACTGACTTTCATTAATCAATTTAGTTTCTTCATTTTATATTTCAAAAACATTTACTCTAATGCTGTAGATACATCTACAATATGCTTAGACACTGATAATAACTTTCTGTAATTGATTTTAGCTATGTACTGCAGTTGATTATAGGGTGTTTTGCATCTGGTGGTTGAATCATCAATGAATGAAATAGAATTTATGTCCTCAAAATTTCAAAAGTTACCCCTCTATAAATAACTTTTAGGCTTAGGTATAAGTAAGCAATAAGATACTTGAAACTAAATAAGATTAATGAAAAAGTCATGGCTGAATAAAGATCCCAGATTAAAAACACTGTTACATGATGTTACATGATACCTCTTTATATACAATTAAGTAGCTTACAGGTATCAAATTCTCATAAAAGAATGCTGATTTCTGTGTTTTGAAAATTCATTTTCTACTAACTACACAATCAAACTTAGAAAGTTGTATATACATACAATCTCTACTTCCATGTTGAACTGTGTTGCAAAGATAGCCACTCCCGGTGCTACAGGAAAGACACCATACAAAAATGCATAATTCGATAAACTGGTGCGGTTCACTACACTGTTGTTCTTGTCCAAGAGTTCCACCATTTCTCTACACAGAAGTGGCAGCACCAGGCTGAAGAAAAAAGAAATGGGTCATAATTTGAGCATGCTGCTCCCCAAGGCGGGTAAATTGCTCCAGTGAATTTGACGTTAGGTTATTCTTCTCCTCAGAAGGTATATCTCTTGGCATGTACACATTCTCTGTATGTCCGCTTGTGGACATTTAATTGAAAGAATGAAGAATTCGACTTGGAGCCATTTAGAGTAGTGTAACATTATTCTAGAAACACTTCAAACATCAGAGATTAGGAGGTAAAAACTCTGATATTTTTGTTCGACAAATAAATTTCTTTAAAAAAGTTTGTAAAAGTTGTAGGAATACTACTGTTTCTTGCATCCTCTATTAATTCATTGAAATGTTTTTAAAAAGGTTGACAATCTGAATAAACTTTTTTCAAGAAAATTACTAAACTCCTTTTTGGAAAAAAAAGCTGACCTTTATTATGATTAGGGGTTTAAATGGTTCAGGTAATGATAAATGCTGCTCAATTAGATTCTTAAAACCAGTAGAAAAACAGGTATCTTTCACTTAGCTCTTCACTTTCGTAAAGATAAAAAGGTTTAGCAAAGGGAACATAAACAACTCAAATGAGGCAGAAAATTAGTGAAATCCAGACTGGTGAAGAGTCAATTATTAAACAAATCCTTCAGGATTCCATAGAATGAGCGTATCAACAATATAGCTGAGCTAATGGAGTTTTCCTTTAGAAAGAACAAGACCAAGAACGATGATATTGTCATAGCAGCACCTAGAGAGATGTTCTATGATGGAGTAAAGAATTACTCTTCTGTATATTTTTAAAATTAAAAATAGATGAAAATATCAAGTAGGGATTAAAGACCCAAAGAAAAAGATTCAAAAAGTGAGAATATTTAAATTCTATTTATAAGTTGAAGTTGATAATACCACTACTGTTAGAACCATATTACTGTGGCACTACTAATTAATACTTTATTTCCAAGGAGCATAATGCCACCATAAATAATATTCAGAACTTATATTCATTTTTACTATTTTGAAAATAGAGACACTATTTCATATTGCACTGGTCTAATGAATTTAACTGTCTATACAAGAGCTGAACTGAATAGTTAAGTATGCCCCATGTGCTTTGAGATAATCTTGCAGTAAAACTGATGTCACCTGCACCATAAAGTGTATTTCCATGGCTAATGAGCTAAATAAACTGTAGAACTATTAACTAAGGAGCTGATAAGAACTTTTTTGGGAGGGCAAGAACTTTTTGTTTGACAGGCTAGGATCAGATGGTTAATAATAATCATTCATATTAACTTACTTCTATATAGAAATTTCAACCACCCTCAGAATTACAGAATATTTTCCCCAAATTCATGATAAAAATAGTTTATACTCAAAATTATTGCTCTCATCACAACTAAGATGCTTTTGACTTTAGGATTTTAATAGAATTAGAAAACTCAGAAATCCTGCAAAATTCCTTAAAAAATATGATTGAACTGGGACATTAGGAAATATTGAATAAAATTATATAAAAGCTGATAGGAAACCAATAGTCTTTATCCTTTGACAGTAAAATGGAAAAAAATAACCTACATGGAATAAAAATGACTTTCCACAAAACACCAACATCGTATTTTCTTTTAAATCACAACTGTTCAATTAAGAGGGATTATTACTATCAGATTATTTAAAGGAGAAAATGGTTATGAACACATCCCAATGGATGGCTAAATAAGGCTTTCACAAAATATAATCCCCAAGTTAAATAAGTGAAACTTACAGTTTAGCTGTGATGAGAAGAATTAGTACAACAAATGCTGACTTCTTCAGTTTCCTTATTTTTCCTACCATTGTGAGACCAAGATAAAAGAGAGCTGATCCCGAAAAAGAATTTGCAAGTCCATCAAGAAAATTTTCCATATATTCGGGCACCTTTTGATCAAGAATAAAATTGAAGGCAATGCCAATGAAGACCATAAATACTATTGGGTTCTGTAATACATGTAGAAGTCCAAGTCCCACAATTTTTACTTTGTTTTGAGAAGCATTTTGAGTGTCTTTCCACTTCTGGATTTCACAGAAAATGAACCCTATAGGGTTTAACATCATAAGAGATATTGGTGCCACCAAATAAATGTACTGGAGATACTCTGGGTATGTAGTTTGGTATAAAGCTTCAACTGCAAAACAAGAGTTAAAATTGATTTTAAAATGATTACAGAAATATAATAGATTATGTGTATGTTTTCTGTGCGTAATTAGAGCATATTGTACATTAATATAAATAGTGCACAATGATTGCATTAGCCTTGGTTTAGAAAAAGTACATTTTTAGTAAGAAAGCTAAAATAAGAAAAACACACCATGTTAAATAACACTTAGCTTATAAAATTATAATCAACTTTTACAAATTATTTTTAGTAATACCTACTAATTTTTATTGAGTAGAGGCTTAGACTAGACACAATAAAAGGGCAAAATTGTAGAATTCCTAAAAGAAACAATTTTCAGAGTAAAATTCTTATAACAAGTTAAATGTTAGTAATAGCAACAGGTGGGTGTTGGTTTCCTTGAGGAGAAGTTTCACTGGAATGGTGAAGCAGAAGTCAGGGTATAGAGGACTGATGAGCAAGTATGAGAAAATAAACTAAATAATGAGCACTGAATCGATGGAGTCCAAGGCTGTACAGGAGAAGATGGGAGATGGCTGACACACAGTAGAGGGATCAGAGACCGGAGTTTCCTACAAAGTCTAAGAATGACATGTAGTTGGAAGTTTAGGAGTCCAGAGTAAGTCAGGTAGTGAGCTACTGAATTTAATATTTCCCAGATGACTAGGTCCAGGATGACCTAGGATGGCCATTGTTAGTTGGTGGCTGAAGTGGACTAGAGGAAAACATCAGTGGAGATGAGAAAGACAAGGAACTAAGAAGGCAGAGAATTTGATAGGCAGTTCACATGGGTGCCAACGTCTAATAAGATAATGGCAAAACTTGGGAGTGGAGAAGTTAATGGTGAGTCAGACATTCTAGTCTTCAGTGAATGAGGAGGAATGGCTAGAATGAGGTCAGCAGATGACAGCAATGAGGATAAGGGGTCTAGTCGGGCAACATGAACCTCAAAGAGGCAGTTTTTACAAAACAGCAAATAATAATGGCCTAGCACGAGGTCTCTATGAGGATGCCAGTCCTATCTACCATTGCTCATGTAGTATGCAGGTGAGAAAACAGGCAGCCTCCATTTGAGAGGAATGAAAGGGAATGGATGGCTATAGGGAAGACCAGTGAAGATGCTAAAGAATTAGGGATGGAAAGGTCGATAAGAAATGTTTGGGAGGGGAATACAGTAGAGTCATGTAATACATATTTATCTAACACAATGTCAACTACACTTTCTTAGGGAAACAAAAGCTTTTTTTTTTTTTTCTCCCATAAAGCATGTTCTCAAATGCAAACTAATTATTTCACTTGCCGTTCACTGAAGAACAACACTAGAGAGAAAAATCTGGCTGTGTTAGACTTAGGAGAAGTGGTACAATATATACAAAGTACATGTGCTATATTCTGTAGATGGTTTAACGAATTTTTCAAGGGTTTGACTGTACATGATGATTTTAGAACCTAATCACTGCGTAAGTTGCATCTCCTTAGAAGGCGTAGGTGGGTTGGATCAGAATTTTATCAGTTTTTTGGTGGAAGTGGGGGTTCGTGGCCTGGTTCTAAGTGGATCAGGGCAACTTAGAACATTAAAGTCAGCAACCTGGTCTTTAGGTACATTTTTGACAATGAGTTCTGAAATTATTCAACCTAATACACAATGGCTGATTCAGAAATGACTTTGAGGTTGGGAAAGGTTAAAAAAAGAATAGCTACAATCACTCACAAGAAGGGAGGCAATCATGTGAAAAAATGTAAAAGATTAGCCTTCTCAATTTACATTAAGATAAAGTGACTCAGGTAGGAAAATACGTTTGTTTACTTACTCAGGATACATAAGTTCAGTTAATGTCATGCACATGTCCCGTTAAAGTTATGTAACTAGATTATATAACCTGTAAAAGTTCACTTTGTTCTTATTAGCTAAAAACTACTTTTATAAGATTCAATCCTCTTTTTTCTTTAGCTAACCACATACGGAGATCTATAATAGTTCTGAAATGAAGCAGTGATTAAACAAAATGTATTTGATAACATAAAATTTCACAAATTCTTTCTGATTTCCAAATTAGATATACTAGCTCTATAACCCTTAGTGGTTTTCTTTTATTAAGTTTCATAAGGTTTCAGCTTTTAAGTAAAACAAAAAGTAGCAGTTTTGAGAACTATTCCTAGGTAGCTACACTTCCTCTGATTAGATATTTTATTTCTAAGAGAAAGGTGTCCTTACCTGCTCACCACTCAAATTTTAAAATAGAGAGTCTATTTTGGAAAAGCCTGTGTTTTCAGTCTGAGCACAAGAATTTTCCCAACTGGCTAATATAAAATGCATAAAGTTCCTTTGACAACTTACAGCACACAAAGCCCCTTAAGTTAATGCCTTTTTCCAGAATTTACTTTCGTAGCACACTAGCACTTAATCATCATTATATAATAGAGCTTAGGCTGTTTTAAAGCTTAATGCAAATTTGAGCAACAGTCTTTATTATCTATGGCTAGCCAATCAATCACCAAGTACTTTCTTCTTTTGCAGGATCTTTTGTATTTTCTCCTCTTGATTCCTACTACCACTAGTCAAAAATTTCAAAACTCGGTTACTTAATGTGTTTCCAACTAATATCCTTTTGGTTTTTCTTGACCACCCCCTTCATCCATTTTATTCACTGCTTACAATATCACGTAAATCTTAACTTCAAAAACTGAGATTTTCCCACAGTTCTCACCACCCACAAAAACAGCTATAAAACCCTTCTTTTGACAATTACAGTCCAGTCTCCACACTGGCACCTTATTTATCCAGCTCATCACTCTGGAATACCCAGCTATTCCTCAGGGTATAGCCTCCACCAGCTGGTTTAATATCACACTTAGACCAGATAAATACCAGGTTCATAAGTAGTTTGACATGCTGACCATCATCTCCTGACTTCTTGAAATCTCTCCTTTCTTATCTAAATCTTGCCTACTGTTTAAGGTCTGTCTCAGGTACTTCTTACACCATGTCTTCAATATGTATCATGGATATCCTCTTCACTGGATGGCTCTGGTACCTTGTTTCATATTAGTGCCACTTGAACAAATTCTAAGTTCAAATACACTTATAACCTCTAGTCCCCAGCATAGTGCTGAGCAAATCTGAAAATAGTTGCTGGGTGGAATTAACAAATCAATGAATGTCAAAGGTTTCAGAATAATATGTATTTTCTAACACATGGTAATTTATATGTAATTATCATTCATTAATCTGTTTTCTTTTATATTTAAATTTTCCTTTTTCATATTCTGAATATTTATAAAGGTTACTATTGGAGTATTTTAAGTCAATTGAACAAGTATTTGAAGGCAAAAGAAGTATAGTGGGACAGTAAACAATTGGGAATCAATACTTGTTAAATTACTAGAATATGGTTCAACAAGGAAATTTCCGTCCATTTCTGCCATTCATTTGCATAATCACTTAACTTCACGTCTTTATAAATTGGTAGAGCTGTTCTTTTGTTACGAATCTGAAGATGGTTTTTCAAATCTCAAAAAAGTATATATGAAAGGAATGTCCCATACTAACAAATAGGTTTATAATCATTATATCAACTATTAAATTCTAATGAATTCTTATAAATAAGGCTCTTGGGGAGTACAGGGAGAATCCCACTATGAGGAATTATTGTATAGCGAAGAGACAAAATTAGTCATCCACTGTGGCTTCTACTTAATTATAGCAGGTTTTCAATCCCTAGCAAATAACCAAAAGACCCAGACAGGATCATTCTATTATTTAATGGCATAGTTAAATGCTTCATTTCCTTTTTGTTTACAGCTCAAGCACTAGAGCATAATTATGATTAGGCAGAGTACTTATGTTATCAGCATTGTTTGAAGAATTACAGGATTTAACTATGCCCTATTAGTATCTTTTAATGACAGAGGCAGGGAACTGTTCTGATTTGCTGAAATCAACATTTCACCTTAGTAGATTCTTGGTTTCTTCTCACACTCAGATTTCTTGAAATACCTTTGAAAAGAATTGTTCTAAAAAACAGTGAGCTTCGTTTTTAGTCTGTAATAAGGCACTGTAGTTTTCTGTCACTTGGGTATAAATAATTTTAATGTAGCTTCCTAGACTGTTATATAATGTCATCATAGTACAGAGAAAAAGGGTACATGACTGTCTTTTTTCTTGATTCATTATCTGCCTTCTCCTGAGTCACCGATCAAGTAGGCTGATGTTGTGAAACAAATGCAGTCTTAAAAAGGACGTATCATGTAACCTATGGTGTTTATCTGTGAACGAGAGAATGGGAATTCTTGGGAGAGGCCACGTAACAAACTGAAAGGGTCTTCTCTTTAGAGATACAGTCTTCTCTGTTCACACTGACTGAGGCCAGAAGGCAGAAGGGCATGGACAGCAATATTAAATAATCTCACTGGAGCAGACGCATGGCCCTGTAGTTCTAGATCACACCTTCCATTCTGCAGGTATATGAAAAAGGAATTCTGTCTATACCATTGGTTTCTGGTAAAGTTATTGTCTATAATCTAATGTTACAAGAACTCTTATTTTTTTTGTGATTTAAAAACAAAAAAAAAACCAGAAACATTACAATTGAAAATCTATAAATATAGTCATCAAGGAAATTGAATTAGCTCACTGCTTGGAACATGATTATTTCCAGATTCACTGATTTAATGTAGGATATAAGCAGTGATAAATATGGCTGACTACATTTTTTAGTTGGAGTCTGCCTCCATATGAAAAGGGATAAACTCATTTAATAGGTCTTTTTCCACTACTACTCATTTTATGAAATATTTATAGATGAATGTAAAGATAATAAAAATATTGATTTTCTCTGAAACTAATGTATTATAAGGGCTAGTTGGGTCTTTTGAAGATTGAATGGGAATGTTACATAACTGTGTGGCATAAGAGAATGCCCTGGATTTAGAACCAGAAGACCTAGGTTTGGGTCTCAGGCACCTGTAAGCTGTGTGACCTGGGATAGTGCAATTAAATCTCTGTAAGCCTGTCTCCTTATTTGAAAATGAGGATAATAATATCTGCCCTATCTCAAACGAGTTAAGTATATAAGAAAGTACTCTATAAAGTTACAAATGTTAGCTCTATTTAGTTATGGACTTGCTTACTAATCTATGAGAGCATGAAATGATATACTTATATATTTAACACTATGATACTGAGTCACTTCTCAGGTCCTTATAGCATAAATACCTTGACAAATTTTCAGCATTAATGCCTCTTAAGAGATGGATAAACACATTAACTCCTTGCTTTTATTTCCAGTCTTTATTTAAATATTTGGTTCATCCTTAATTTTAAAATTCAGTAACCTTAAAAGAATACCTATCTAGTTTCTGACTATTTACAGCTCAATTATCTAAGAACTTAGTTTTTCCTCTCTCATAAACTTCCTACTTTTCTCACAGTTATTTAATTTTTAAGGTATATCTCTGTATCTGGTAAGGGAGATGGAGGGTATAGGAGAAAGATGAAAAGTATACTCCACTAGAATTCTTTTGGTATCAGTGCTGAGATAATTGGGGACAGGAAGGGTAATTAAAACTACTAGATAAAAAGTCTGAAAGTTAATGATAGATCTCAACTGTCCATTTTATTGTTTCTTTTAGTCTTTGCTCAGAAGATATACCATCAGAAAGGCCTTTACTGACTCCCTACCTCAAGTAGCACTGGTACCGACTCATTCCTATCCCTCTATACTAGTTTACTTATTTTTATGGCCCTTGTCATTATCTGACATTATTTTAATTTTATTTTCTCATTAAAATGTAAATTCAATATGTACAAGAACGTTGTTCACGGGTGTATTCCCAGTAGCACTGGTACAAAGTGGGTCCCTATTAATGGATGAATGAATGAATGAATGAATGAATGACTAAATCCATAATATTCAGGTCCTCACATTGAGATACATGATCAAAGTACAACATAAATGTTAAGTTAAAGATAAAAATATAAAAACGTAGTTACTAAGTACACATTTTCTTAGGGGCAGAGTGTTCTGGAAAAAAATGTTTCCTTTCAAGATTATTTCAACATCCCAAACTGGTATGTTTACTGTTTCATCAGGAAATATAAACATAGAAACATGAAATTAACCTGCTTAGAGTTGGAAAGGTGAAAAGGAAAAGTTGGAAAGATGAAAAAGCCTGCATCATTTTTGTTCTTAAACCAGAAATCAACTAAAGTACATTGACATTTTGAAGAACAAGATCAAAAATGATCTTTAATGTAAAATAATATATATTCTAGATAGTAAGAAAAATAAAGGAGGGAAAAAATCACTCATAAATTTCCACTGCTAACATTTAATAATGACTGTTTTATATAGACATATACTTATCTTTTCATATTATTTAAATCAGAATCTGATCTTTTCTGGAAATTAAATTTCTTTCATATGTGTGTGATTATTGAGAAGAAAAAGAATACTGTTAGGAAGAAAATTCACAAAGTTTATTTGGATATGACCATTTATTTTAGGTTGACCTTTGAAGGAGCTTCAAACTGAGGTTAAGGAAAAAATATAATTCATCCTAATTTAAGATATATTTAAGAAAAAATAGAAAAGATTTCTTAGACACAAGAGTATCTATCACTAACAAATGTTTAAATAAATTAAAAGGCTTAAATTTCGTTATCTTCTAAAACACTTGAATTTTTTTAAAGTTTGAAAAATTAAAAATAACTTACCTATAGGATATCCCAATGCAAAGTCATTACTTTGTGTAGTGAAAATAGGGAATAGTCCAGCTTTGCTAAATCGACTATCGGGACTGGCAACCAATAACGTTAATACACATACGATGACAAAAACAAAAGCTTTGGCAATTAAGATGCTATATAGGAAAGACCAATCCACATTGGAAAAATTAAGTACAACCATGTTTTTGAATAATAAAGCTGGAAGTGCAAATCTGGAGACAAAATTTCCCAGTCCTTTGGCCTGTGTTGATGTTATGACATTGGCCCTTCCTGCTATGTAACCACAAAGGACTATGCCAAAGCATTCTAGTAAGGCTGGAAAAAGCCTTGTTACTGACATGGAAGGTAGGTCATTAGTGGAATTAAATCCATGCACTGCTGTTGAGGACAAAGTGCTGGTCATATTGACCGCCATGGTTAAGTTCCTGGCAGGTAAATCAGTAAAAGAATTCATTTTCTTTCACCTTCCAACTCCAACCAGATCTCTGGAAATAAAAAAGAAAGATTCAGCGTGACAATAAGAACAATATAGTTGAAAGGATACATTGGCAAACCTAGACTTATTAAATGGCCAAATAAATACACATATTTTTCTTCAACTACCATGAAAGAAAAATATGTTTTAAAAAAAGGTGAGTGTGTTTCCTAGCTGACAATAAAGGTGAGTCAGCTTAAAATATTTATATGGCTGTCCTATATTTAGTATCAGACTTGAGTAAAATAAGATCCATAAATGTTACAGTGCCAGTGATACCCCAGGGTCCTCTCCAGTGATCCATACTAGAGCTCTGCCTAGCAATTAAGAGCATGGAGCTAGAGTCTGCTGAATGTTCACATGCATTTAAATTCTCCAGAAATTTCAAAAGTACATCAAGAAGACACACTGGACAAGAGGGGCCTTTCCAGCCTGCGTTCATACTTGACTCTAGGATAGGAAGGAGGATATAGCAGAGTATCACTTGTCAACTTTGAACCAGTAATTTATGTTTTTTGTGTCTCACTTTCCTCATCTGTGTAATGGTAATAATAGTACCTACCTCATAGGAACTTGAGATTATTCAACTAAAGTCCTTATAATCATATCTGGCACAAAGCCTACTCTTAGTTCCTTTTACAGCAGCCACAGGTATTGGCCTTCTTGAATGCCCCATAATCTCCTTCTGCCACATGGACTTTGCACATGCAATTAATTCTAAAATGTTCTCTATCCACCTACCACTCTCTACATAATACTGCCTAGTCATGCTCCAAATCATGTAGTTCAGGAGTCACTTTATCGGGGTGGCTTTTCTGACCCCATAGCCAGGCCAGGAGACTTTCTCAAATAGAATCATGTTTCTTACCTTTAGGTCCATTTTCTTCATTTTCTAATTATACTATGCATTAGATTGACTATTTGATTTGTGTTTTTCTACTTTACTAGACTTTAAGTGCCATAGAAATAGAGTCTGTGGATGTGTTTGTTTACTGTTGTGTCCCTAACACCTAACATAGTGTATGGAGCACAAGAGACTTCATATGTGTATATTTACTTCATCCTTTAGTGAATTGATGTTCTCTTTTAGGAACTATCTAGTTCATGGACAGAAATCTCTCTCTCTTGTTTTTTTTTTTTTTGAGTGATAAAGTATCCTAAGTTTTTCACTATAGCAACAGGCCCAAGACCACAAAATGTGTTCTAAAATATTCTAAAGCTGTTCATAAATGTTAAAGAACACAAAATGTGTTTTAAAATGTCCTAAAGATGTCTAGAAAATGCTAAAGCAAGGGAAAATTCTTTATGCTAATATTACAATACTTATCAGACGCCCCTCTTGCTGCCAAGGACACAGTGAACATGAGGTTTGGACAACTCTGAAATTAATCTACTCTTATTAGCAACTTGAAATTAATATGGTGACAATTGCCAATTTCTAAGTAATTATTCTGGATTAATCATCTAATATGGCCTTATATGAGGTAGTAAGTAATTTTTTAGCTCATGCTTCCTGAAATTTACAATGCCCAGGTTAAGTTCTCAAACACCCACATTGCATTAAAAAGACTCAGATGGCAGGCCAGAGACCAGCTACAACTGATACTCAGGGGTGTGAGTGAAATAATTTTCTCTGTGTTACTCTGGTATAAACTGAGCCATTTAAAAAACAAAAAACAAAAAACAACTTACATTTAATCTGGATCAGGACAAGTATTTTTCTTCTAGGATTAGATAGGAGTGGTCAAAATATATAAAACCTATATACTCACTTACATGCTTGAAGTTTAGCAAGTTAAGTGTCAAATTATATCCTGGGAAAGCTACTGTTGGTACAGGTACTCACAGCTGAAGTAGGAGCTGGTAAACAATTAAACAAAAGTGTTATAAACATTTGAAGCCCTTAAAGATGTGGACTTGAAAAGGCAGTGCTAAAGAACAAGGTGATAAACTAGCTCAGTTTTCTGTTATTTTTTCCAAGTTCCTTACATTTCTTTGCCTGAAGTACTAGTAATTCATATGGCTCATTTGTACCACACTGGCATATCAACGTATTCCAATAATTTTAAACGAACAGTTTAAACGAACGATTGTTCAGTAAAAAGAATCAAACAGATCTGAACCCAATTTGGAGCCTTATACTTAACTCTTTGGGCAAGTTACTTAGCCTTTCAGACTCTTGGCCTTCTCAACTGTAAAATTAGAGTAGAAACCTCCTTAGAGGAATATTGTGAGGACTGGAAATTTTAGACACAGCTTATCATAGTAGCTTATCACAAAGAAGGCTTTAAAGAAATGGTAGTAATTGCTATAAGGAGTTGTAGTCCTAATAATAATGATAAGAATGGTAACAAATTAAATATAATCCATTGTTCTATGCCAATTCTTCAAACAATACTTAGTATTGAAGATTCTTCTACTAAAGTAGAAGGACGGGATGGGTCGTAAGGTTATCAGTTTTTATTTTATACCAAACAATTAAGAGGAGTTGAGTTTAATTTTCTTTGTAAATAGTTGTTAGCAGGGAAGGGAGAGCTCTTCATTTTTCTCAAAATGATGGTCAAATAGTTGTAGCAATGCCTGGGTTTAACTTTGTTAGTCGAAAAGCAAGAGAAAAACTCTGCAAAGTAATCTGCCCCTTTCCATGAGGTTTCTTTTAATGTTCCTCAACATTATAAAAGCAATATCTGCTAGTTGAGGGAAAGTCAAAATAACCAAAAAGTATTTATAGAGTTTTATCTTATCTTTTTTTTTTTTTTTTTTTTTACTATAGTTTCAAGTATATAGTACATTGGCTAGACATTTATATAATTTATGAAATGATCCCCTGGATGACTCTATCATTCATCTGGCTCTACACATAGCCATTACATTACTACTGACTACATTCCCTATGCCAGACTCCCCATTCCTGTGACCATCTCTCAAGTACTAACTTGTACTTCTTTAACCCTTCTTAACCTTTTTTTCTCAATGGGAGGAAAATATGGTTTTGAAAGCATTCTTTTAAAATGAACAGGAACTACAGCAAGAGCCTTTTTAAAAAACTTAAATCTAGTTTTTTCATCTCACTGAAACATAGCTTGTTACAGAACAAACATGTTGTTGTTCTGTCACAGTAAAAGACTGCTCACTGACCACTCACTGGGGCAGGGAGTGGAAAAATGCTACATACAAACCACTTCTGGCTACTTCATATTTGGCTTAGAGAGCATCACAGAACCACTGAAATTGTAAACAACTGCTTAACTTCTGATTAACTTCAAAGAGAAAGCTTTAAACTTGTAGGCTGTCTATTTCTCAAACACCCAATATCCTTTATCCTGTGGAACAAGCATAATACACTGTGGTACTACTAAAGCACTCTTCACCATCAACAGTCACACCAGCCACTCACTCTTATCTACTTGTAGGGAATTAAATGTCCTCCTTTGAGACCCAGGGTGGGGAGCATTGAGCGCTGCTTTTCCCTTGTCATCAGGGATAGATTTTGGCCCTCCAAGATAAGGGCGTGGAGGGTCGATAACTATATAGGCCGCCCAAAGAGCTGTCATACAATGCCTGGGCAGGCAACAGTGGAAGTGGAAAGGCAGTTTGCGGTCTGTGCCTAGGATAAAAAGTTGGTCGTCAGCGTTCCCAGGGCATGAGAGTTACAAGTTCTGGGTAACTGACATGCTCCAAAAAAGGGAAAAGGGCGAAAATTTGGGGCAATGCTCCAAGTACATGGGCAGAATCTCCCAGGAGGGCAGATACTGAGGCTACCTCTTGGGATAAAGGGAAGAGGACGAGAATGACAGGGGGATACACGTACAATGAAGTGCTCTTCAAACCGAGGAATGACAGTCATGTCACTGGAGGGCACAAGCCGCCCCTTCCCCTACGAAAGCCTTCTCAGATGGCCATGCACGTTCGTCCTAAAGGAGGGCAGTGCGGGGCAGAGGCGGGCAGGCGCAGGCAGTGGCCTGCGGGCCTGGGCGCCATGGGCTGGGCGCTGCCCACCTACACAGAACGGGAGAGCGGGGGCACTAAGGTCCCTCGAGGCCAAGCCAGGACCCAAAGGTCAGCGTCCGAGGGGCCCATCTCACCTGCTACGTCTGCAGCCCCGGGGCCGCGAGAAGGAGGGAGTCGGTGTTCGCTGTGGGCCAAGCAGGGAGGAAATCACCATCATCTCCCACTCCAACCCTCTTGGAAGACAGCTACTAGCTTCTGGCTGCAGCAGCTCAGTCACGTTGCGCGAAAGTGAGATGCGGAGAAGCCTTGACCGGGTCAGCTTCTCCTCACGCGGGCGGTGCGGTCCCGC